CCAAGTTCGCGCCGAAGTCCAAAATAAAAAAAAAGTCCAAGTGGTTGAGCACGTGTGAAAACCTTAACCTTTCGGATGGAAGGAAGGTCTGGCGATTACTAGATAATCTCACTGGTATGGGGAAGCAACAGAATATTCGCACCCTTAAAACACCGGCTGGCACAGAGGCTTGCTGTCCTAAGCTTATCAACGCGCTTTATAAACACTTTGCTTGAGTCAGCAAATGTGCCAGAGATACTGACGAAAGCCGGACCATGAAGAAACTCCGGAAGGCTAGAAGCAGGGCCCAATGAATGGGACCACACCAGGAGGTTTTCACGGAAGCTTTTACAATAGCCGCGTTGCAAACAGAAATAGGAAAGTCCAAAACAGGTAAAGCTCCAGGCCCCGAAAGAGTCTGTAAGGAAATGCTCAAACGTTTGGGTAAGGCCGGAAAAAGTGCATTACTAGACTTCATGAATAAAACCTGGACGACAGGCATCTTGCCGCAGGCGTGGCAAAGAGCGGTGATTGTCCCAATTGCCAAAGATGGCAAACCAAGTGACAAACCGTCTATCTACCGGCCAATCTCCCTCACATAATGTGTTGGAAAGAAGCAGAGTTAATGGTGAACGCAAGACTATATTGTTTCTTGGAATAAACCAAGAGCATTCCAACCAACCAAGGCGGCTTCAGCAAGGGGAGGCAGCCTATGGACTTGGTAATGCAATTTATCCAAAGCACCACCCATGAGCTTCAGATGAGAAATCATATTGTCGCTGTATTCTTTAACCTCCAGAACGCTTACGACAAGTCTGGAGGGCTGGTCTATTGTACAACTTAAAATGCCTCAGAGAAACAGCCAATATGCACAGGTGGCTTCACTCTTTTCTATCAAATCGTACGATTTATAAACCCGTGTAGGGGACAAGGTTTCAAATATGTGTGCACTGGAGAATGGACTCTCACAGGGGTCGGCCTTGAGCTGCACCCTGTTCCTGGCGTACGTATACGACCTTCATTCACAGTTGGTTACAAGGAACACAATGTTCGCAGATGATTTGGCAATATGAAACTCTGGCAAATCCATCCAGCATTTGCAGAGTCGGCTGCTGAGTGATCTCACCAAGATACAGGATTGCGCTCGGAAATGGAGAGTGGTGTTGAATGCGGAAAAGACCGTGTACTCGCTTTTTACCAATGGAAGGAATGCTCCTCAAGGAAAAATTATATCTCAAAATCTCCGGCAAAATGTTAAAATGGGACAAATCACTCACGTATTTGGGAGTGAAGTTGGACCAAAAACTCCAACCACATAACCACGTGCGGGAACCTCGGCGCTCGAGCCACGTCTAAACTCAGCCGGATCAAAAAACGTGCCAGCACCACCTGGGGAGCTGACGCAAAACTCCTGAGAACTCTTTACCTCGAGGTGCCATGGACTACAGCCTTCCGGTCCAAATTTCTGAAATAATCACTGCTTGAGTCGGGGAACCACAGTACGATGGCTGACTAATCAGAGAGTTTAGCCTGGGTGATACTTGTGTGGGGAACTACAATACGATGGCTGACTAATTAGAGAGTTCAGCCTGGGTGATACTTGTGTGGGGAACTACAATACGATGGCTAACTAATTAGAGAGTTCAGCCTGGGTGATACATGTGGGGGAATCACAGTACGATGGGTGACTGTATCTCACGCGTATCTGGAAAGGGGGGGGGGGGGTAAATACGATGTCAGACCCTGCTTAGTGATAGTTTAATTCAGTATCGTGGTAGAGAAAGCACAGCTGGATCGGTGTTAATAAGTGGTTATTGACATGGAATAGACGTCCGGAGTAAATTATCTGGTTCGGGAGAATGTAGTCTCTATTAACGTAATAAGCTAATAAGAGTGGGATTCCCTTGGTGGGTATTTTCTTGTATCGCGAGGGCTAGATATATCTAGCTATAGGTTTTGGGACACTACAGAGTGGAGAACAGTTGAGATGTAGAAGTTGGGCTAGAACGGTCGAGAGCGAAGCCGGACAGCCGTAAAGGACAGACGTGAGAAGACAGTAATGAGATCGAGAGACCAAACATGACAGAGAAGAGTCAAAGTCTTGATTGAATGTGAACAGTATAGCAGATCAGTAAAGTGAAGACTAACCATCAACCTGTTATTGGCTGATTGTTGCAGTACGAGAGACGGAGTGAACGATGTTACCATCAAGATAAAGTAGTTAACAAAGACGGCTAAGGTTCTCTCAGTTATGTATATATAGTTATGTATATGTATATATATATATATATATATATATATATATATATATATGTGTGTGTGTGTGTGTGTGTGTGTGTATTTACACTCTTTTGTGTCGGCGCCCACTCGCGCGTGAGAGAGGGGGGAAAAGACGGATAAGATTCTCTCATTTATGTATATATATATATATATATATATATATATATATATATATATATATATATATATATATATGTGTGTGTGTGTGTGTGTGTGTGTGTATTTACACTCTTTCGTAGCCGGTCCCAATCCCGCGTGAGAAAGGAGGGGGTTGGGCGAAGGGCTAGCAACCCGTCCCAATAAAAAAAAGTAACACGCACAAAGATTTCAAAAGAAAACTCCGATCTTGGAAAGGATGTGTTTCCGAACTGAGAATTAATGGATCTAGGTGGCCAAAGGCAACTGGAAACTACCCGGCGGACAACCATCCTCTCCACTAGGACCAGCACCAGTCTAGGAACATGGAAGGAAAGGACAATGTTCAAAACTGGAAAAACTGTCCAAGTTGCAGCTGAAATGCAGAGATACAAACTAGACATCTTAGGAATAAGTGAGTCGCTATGAACAGGTTCAGGTCAGATAAAGCTCAGCACAGGGGAACTGCTGCTATTCTTAGGCCACTAAGATGAAAATGCGGCGCACAACCAAGAAGTGGCACTCATGCTTTCCAGAACTGCCCAGAACGCACTTATAGGGTGGAAAGCTCATGGTCCCCGTATAATCACGACAAGATTTAAGACCAAAAAAACGAAAAGTCAATATAGACATCCAACAAGTATATGCTCCTACCAACGATAGTAAAGAAGAGGACAAAGGGAGTTTCTACCCTTGTCCAAAGGTGTCCTAAGAGCAATATGGTTATGCTCATGGGCGACCTAAATGCGAGAATAGGCGGCAACAATAAAGGCTATGAAGAATGCAAGGGTACACACGGCATGGGAGAGATGAATGAAAATGGTGAAAGACTAGCAGATCTATTTGCTAGAGATGGACTGGTCATCGGAGGAAGTCCCTTCCTGCATAGAAATATCCACAAGGTGACATGGATTTCACCAGATATGTCAAAGGCTAACCAAATTGAACATTTCTATAGTCTGTATCTGCAATAAGTTTAGACGATCACTCCAAAATCATCTAATGATTGCCAAATTAAGACTTAAACTGAAAAAGAACTTGACAAGCGAGTGAAGCACTCGCCAACGTTTTAACACCAATCTCTTGAAAGACGAATCAAAACTAAATGAGTTTAAAATTACTATCTCAAACAAGTTCAAGATCCAACAAGAATAATGCAATGAGGGAACAATTGACCAAAATTGGAAAGACATCAAAGAGATATTCATGACTACCTGCGAAGAAGTGTTGGGCCCTAGGCAACAAACGCATAAAGAATGGATTTCTGCTGAAACCATGGAAAAAATCCAATATAGGAGAAAGAAGAAGGCAAATCTAAACAATTGCCGCACCAGAACCGAAAAGGCCAGAGCATCAACAGAATACTCAGAAGCAAATAAAGAAGTTAAACATAATAAAAAGACAGATAAAAGAACTGCATAGAAGGATTAGCAAGAGCAGCAGAAGAGGCAGCGTACCATGCAAACACATGAGAATTATTTAGTACAATCGAAAATTTATCTGGAAAGTTCAAAACTCCAGTAAGACCAGTTAAAACTAAAGATGGGAAATCAATAGCTGATGAAGAGGGTCCGAAAAAAAAGATGGATTGAGCATTTTGAAGAACTTCTCAACCGGCCAGCCCCACAACTCAACATAGAGCCAGCGGAACAAGATCTAGAAATAGATTGATTGTAGCAAACCCTAAAAAGGAGATATGAAGAGCAATTAAACAGCTAAAGAAAGGCAAGGTGGCTGGTCCAGACAGAATACTAGCAGAAACCTTGACAGCAGATATTACGACTAGCACTGAAATGCTACACACTATTCAAGAAAATATGTGAGGAAGAACAGATACCTATTGAATGAAGACAAGGACACCTCATTAATCTCCCGAAGAAAGGAGACCGTAGTTCTTTTTCTAACTATAGATGAATAACCCAGCTGTCCATCCCAAGCAAAGTATTCAACAGAATGCTGCTAAACAGAATAAGGGAGGCAATAGATACCAATCTTAGGGACCAACAAGCAGGGTTCAGAAAAGACAGATCCTGCACAGACGAGATCGCCACATTCATAATTATTGTGGAACAATCACTGGAGTGGAACTCATCATTATATGCCAACTTCATTGACTATGAGAAGGTTTTTGAATGTGTAGACAGACATACTCTGTGGAAGCTGCATAGACACTACGGGGTACCACAAAAATTTCACTTGGTATCACTTGGTCCGCCCTCACACCTACTTTTGTGTCACCTCCTCTGAATGGATCATTTGGTCCGCCTTCACATCTACTTTTGTGTCACCTTCTCTGAGGGTATCATTTGGTCCGCCCTCACACCTACTTTTGTGTCACCCACTCTGAGGGTATCACTTGATCCGCCCTCACACCCACAACAGAATCTATTTCCCTTTGTTTTTGCTTTTTGCTGTACACTATGGTGAGAGTACACTAGATGAGAAAGAACTGTTTCACGGTTTAAAATAAAACAATTACATACTGTTTGTGTGTGTGTTGGGGGGGGGGGGAGATTTGAAGATTTTGTAACTGATAGAAATTGATCAATCCATTCTTTCTCCCATACAGACGAAACAAAATAAATCAATTAAACACTAAATGTAAACATAAATGTAAACAGTAGTATTTATTAATTTCTCCAAATCTTGAGTCAACAGTCAACATACTTAATTTTAAATTAACATAAGTAATTTAAATCACAAGCAAGAAGAAATATTTAATATAAATTATTAGACTTCACTCAACGTGATTAACCTCTAATCAATTTAATTAATTGAAACTGAACATATGAAATCTTTAGACCATAAATGAAGTCTTTAATCGATATATGTAGTCTTTAGTCAAATCCATATTCTTCAGCAACTAAATTATTTATCATCTTCTCTCAGCATATGTAACCTTCAGTCAAGAATAATTAATTTTTAAAGTTAAAATAAGTTAGCTATAATAATTTTAAGCCAATTTCATTTGAGTCATCGGTTAAAATTGCTTGTCTTTATCACAAAGATAATCTTCTTTTAACAACACCATGTCACAGATATTCTTCATTTAACAACAATATCAAAGTTAGTCTTCATTTAACAACACAATGACAAAGATAATCTTCATTTAAAATTATTGTTCGTTTACTCCACCAAAGCATATAACAGTGAACATAATACAAAAACATTTGACATCTGACAATGGGATTGTAAATATCTGCTGGATGAAGAGTGGTTCGCCTTGTCTCTTGGAAAATAGGACTCGCCAATTATTGAGCAAACTACGTGATGCTTCACGTTTTAGCTTGATCTTTATATAGCCTACTTTACTCTCTCTTTATATAGCCTACTTACTCTCTCTTTATATAGCCTACTTACTCTCTCTAAATAGAGCCTACTTTACTTTCTGCTCATATAGTCTTCTTTACGTTCTCTTTATATACCCTACTTTGCTCTCTCTTTATATAGCATACTATACCCTCTTTTTATATGGCCTACTTTAATCTCTTTGTAATGCCTATTTTACTCTCTCTTTGTAATGCCTACTTTACTCTCTCTTTTATAGCCTATTTTACTCTCTCTTTATGTAGCATACTTTATTTTATATAGCATATTTTCATCTCGCTTTATCTAGCCTACTTTATTATCTAGATAAATTCATCATTCAACCTGTCTAGCGCGATCACTAGACTGCGTGATACTTGTATCCCCATGACCGAGGTAACATTTTTTAAAATAGCACTATGCAACTATAGAACGTGCGACATGATTGTCCCAAACACAACTGTACGGTTTTAAAACGTAGGTCATCTCTCGAATTATTTAATGCCTCCAGGATGTGTTTGCCTTACGCACCCAAAACAAGCGGATGCATGGCGCGTCACAATTTCCGATTCAGCTATGATCGTCCGGACACGACGCACCTCACTGTCGTCGGTAGCTCATAAATGCTCAGCCTCACCGCGTCACACAGTGGCGGCCCGCTACCCCTGAATTACTTGGTAGCAGTACGTAGGAATGTCTTTAGCTCCGCTGATAACTAGTCTGTAGCAGTATTCTCTGAGAAGATCAATAATGATACTCTCTGTTCCTGAATCACCCATCGAAACACGGTCCATTGCTATGAAGCCTGTTTCTGCTCGAGAGATTAAACTATTTTCTGTAGTGACTTCTGGAGGTTGAGTCCAAGGATTGTTCTGAGCTTCTTCAGGTGAAACTATTTCGGCGCTCACTTTGTCCAGGTCGCCAGACGAGACTCCAATGATTCCCTGCTTTTTGTGAAACGGCTGAACTGTCTTCGCTGCATTCATGATTAGATCCATCAGCTTGGCAATCTGTTGTAAATGATGAACAGTGGTCTGGTGGTCTGGGATGTCTTTAAGAGGCAACTTCTGTTGTGCTGGTGATTAGAAGCAAGAATCTACCGTCAATTTATCGTCATCCTCTTTTTTTATGCATCATTGATCGATTGAGAAGAACTCAATAGTGCTAGCAAGAGACCAGTAGGACATGCAAGAGACCAGTAGAGCGTACACGAGACCAGTAGTGCGTACAAGAGAACAGCCATGCGTACAAGAGACGAATAGTGCGTGCTAGTGATCAGTAGTACGTACAAGAGAAAGTAGTGCGTACAATAGACCAATAGTGCGTACAAGAGACCAGTTATGCGTACAAAAGACCAGTTGTGCATACAAGAGACCAGTAGTGCGTACAAGAGACCAGTTATGCGTACAAAAGACCAGTTGTGCGTACAAAATACCAGTAGTGCGTACAAGAGACCAGTAGTGCGTACAAAAGACCAGTTGTGCGTACAAGAGACCAGTTTTGCGATGAAAGGAAGTTCGTGTAGGATTGCTTGTATAGAATCGTGTTGGAGTCAAAGTAATTAAGACGTGAAAAGCAAGTCATGTTATGAGAACATCAAAGTGAATTTAAACGAATATCATCAAATAATAATAATATTAGACTTCCAGGATTTTATGAAGCTATTTAGCTGTACTGCTAACTCATGAAAGTATGTGAGCGAGCGAGAAAGAGAGAGAAAGAGAGAGAGAGAGAGATCTATAAGTAGGTAGGTATGTAGATATGCATGTAGGTAGCTAGGAAGGTAGGTACGTAGATGGATGAATCTATGAATGGATGGATGGAGAGAAAGAGTGGAAGTGAGACAAAGAGAGAGAAAGAGAGAGTGTGAAAATGATAAAGAGAGAGAAAAAGAGAAAAAGAGAGACAGAAAAAGAAAGAAAGAGAGAAAATGGGAGAGAGAGAAAAAGAGAGAGCGAGAGAGAGCAAGAGAGAGAGAGAGAGAAAGAAAGTGAAAGAGAAAGAGTATGAGTTTGTATTATAACTTATGAAAGTCGTACAATACACATGTTTAATATCAGTTCGCTTACATGGTAGTGGATCTCCCGAGGACATGTTGATGATTATGAAGAAACAAGTGGCGAAGTTCAAACACGTGACGAATCCCATGGCCCCCCTGAAACAAAAAGTGGCTTTTTTTAAAATAGTCTTAAGTCACCGGCTGGAAATTGTAATATTAAAAAGATGTAAATATACCACCTATAGAAAATTTAAACTACAAGTTTAACAATTGTTCTTGAACCGCCAAGAAAAGTCATATTTATAACAATGGCGATTGAGTTGCATAGAAAATCAAATGCAATGCTAAAAGAAAATCTAGAGGACTTTATTACGAAATAGGGAATCGGAGTATCCAACCCTCCACTCATGCACTGCATTAAAAAAAAAAAAGAGTATTGGATGCATCGCTGCAGCTCATTGAATAGTTAAAAATAAGATGCCGAATGGCAAGTATTAGAACTATCTGTATTTTCTGTTAATTACTGAGTGAACAATGTCATAGCTCAGTGGTCGGCAAACTCATTAGTCAAAAGAGACATAATTCAGGAGCAGCGCGATTTAAAAACATTGAGAGCTAACTTTCTTTTCAAGAACCTATCAAGAACCATGTTTTTTCAGAGTCAAATCCGATTTGTGACCGACTGGCCCGACCGCACTCAAGTTGCTAATTAGCCGCATGCAGCTCCCGGGGCGTGAATTGCTGACCACTGCCTCAGACCAATAGAGTGATTCTGCTAATTACGCAATGAACAATGTCATATACCAATAGAGTGATTCTGCTAATTACGCAATGAACAATGTCATAGACCTATAAAGTGATTATGTTAATTACTCAATGAACAATGTCATAAGACCTATATAGTGATTCAGTTAATTACTCAATACCGATATCATAAGACCTATTTAGTGATTCAGTTAATTACTCAATACCGATATCATAAGAACTATTTAGTGATTCAGTTAATTACTCAATACCGATATCATAAGACCTATTTAGTGATTCAGTTAATTACTCAATACCGATATCATAAGACCTATTTAGTGATTCAGTTAATTGTTCAATTCACACTGCCCTAGACCTATAGACTGATGCCTACCTCATTCTAAACATTAAGCTGTAAACCTTTACTGTGAAAACCAAGGTAGCGAGTGAGATGTACGCTTGCTTTCAAACGTCGCCGTATATATAGCGATCCGGAGGTATTTTTAGCAACGTAAGACAAGTTCGGTTAATTATAACTGAACGCATCGCCTGCCGATCCCTCTGCTGGGTTTTAAAGCCGGGTCAGTGGCGTGGGTGGGGGTAGAAGAGAAAACACTTGGGACACTTTGTGACACAGTGACATGGTTCGTGATAGCTTTCCGGAACAGCCCGCCCGTCACCGTCAGTGTAATGGATACTGTTTCTGCAATTCACCCGATTGAACTAGCGCTTCTCAACCTATGGGTCGCGACCCCTTTTGGGGATCGCTCGACCCTTACACAGTGGTCGCCTAAGACAGAGGAGCACATAAATACAAATTTTATGAAGAAGAAACGAAAATAATTTTGTGGTGGTGGCAGGGCAGGGCTTAAGGGTGTCCGACCTGTGCCCTGGCACAGACCGCCGTGACCAAAGGGGCGCCTGGGGCGCCCAGTAAATATTTAAATTCCCTTAGTTTATTATAGTGAAGTGGGAACCTCGGATCCGGGGTCGAGAAACGGTGTTCAATTTTTCGTACAATCGCTTTTCATAAAATGAGTTCTCATACAAAGAAAGTTGCATTCTTAATTTTGACACAAGCACTGGGTTTGGGAACAACCGAAAGTGTGTGGATATCAATGTGGATATTAACGCCGTATTTCCTTGTCCCTCTTACTATTATTTCAGCAGAAGTAAGTCGTCATCTAGTAAGTCGTCATCTAGTAAGTCGTCATCTAGTAAGTCGTCATCTAGTAAGTCGTCATCTAGTGAGTCGTCATCTAGTAAGTCGTCATCTAGTAAGTCGTCATAGGAAAAAAAGCGGAGCCAAACAGGGACAGGGAAGGGGACGCCGAACGGGTGCTTCGCACAGGGCGCAAGTTTACCCAAGGCTTAACATTGGCGTCCCTTATAAGTATAATCATTAAAGGAAAAAAAACGAGTTACTCGGTAAAGATGCCTACATTACCTAATGTTGTTGCTGTTTTTTTTTTTTTTAAAACTGTTCATTGTTTGTTAAAAGAAAACAAAACAACATAGGTAATGAACTAATTACCGAATAACTAGTTTTTTTTTAGTTTTTTTTTAAACTTTAATGATTATACTTATAAGAGGCGCCAAAGTTAACCTTGTACAGGGCGCCAGCAACAGTCGGGCCGGCCCCTGGTGGTGGGCGACCACAACATGAGAACCGTATTAAAAGGTCACGGGCATTCGGAAGGATGAAAACCAATGGATTAAACGTAGGAGATTTATCGGTAACACAATTTTGGGTCCGCCCCTCCCCCCCATATTGTATTTGTAAGATCACGAAAACAATGTGGTACTAGAAAATGGCGCAGTTTAGAGATTGCACTGGAAGCGGCTTGATAATAAAATAAGGTTGCGGCTAATCGGACCCGGTTTGGGTTTATTAAATAATATTTAGAATACTATTGTAAGGGTGTTTACAACATCCGAATAGCATTTAGTCTAAAGGGACCCGGGTACGAATAGCGTTGATGCGTGTCGGGGTCAATTTTGTCTAAATGCCATTCGGATGTCATTTGTGGTAGTTTAATTTAGTTAAACTGAAGAATTAATTTTAGAAACATATGTTCCATTCAATTATCTTTCATTTGATACAAAATTTTGTCTTACAAACCCAACAATAATATTTTTAACGTTTTTTTAATCCCAACCTCTCACTACTAGTAGCCGGGTCCGAATAGCCGCTTCGATAAAATAAATTGTGGGAGTGTTTTGGGAACTGCGTAACAGTTCTTGCTTTTAAAAATAAAACCATACAATTGTATGTGGCTGTATGGAAAGTCTTTCTGTCCAAAATACCCAAGACATACACGTTGTGGATGTAATGACAGTCTTTCAACGTTAATCTTACATCTTAATATTGGTCGACATTTTGTGAGGCAGCTACGTGACCTGGTGGCGTAGTAAACGGCCCCCGAATGGCGTCCTGCTGTTGCCAACAGAGCCGTAGCGTGGGGCCTGCCTCCCATGCGAGTTGCAAGAGAGGGGGCGTCGGGCCAAGGCGTAACTAAAGTTATGAATACTCGTGAAGCGGAGACAAAAAAAGGAAAGGAATAATTTTAAATTGCCTTCAGTAACTAAATAATGAAAACCCCCTCAAGTGGCAAAAAGGGGGCTGGGGGTCGTCACCAAAGGTCACGTGACAGCCCCAGTTGCCAATAACCTGTTGAACCATTTGATCGTTGTGCCCACCTTTCTTAAAGTATTGATCACCAAAATAAGGCGGAGAATAATGTAAAGCTAGAGATATATAATTTTTATTCCAGTTTAATAGTAAAATAAACTATAACAATAATGATTAAATTATGAAGTTCAAAAGAAAAGATGTTATGTTAAGAATTATTGCTGTTCACATAAATATAACAGTTTTAGCTTACAATTGATATTTATAAATGTATTAAATGTGACATTGAAGTCCCTCTTTTACTAAGCTACAACTTGATCCGGTTTACACAAAATTTAGAACCGTTAAGTCACAGCTTGACATTCAAGTTTTGCTAATTGAACGCATTGACGCGTAAAACATTAGGTGAGGAAGACGCGTGGATGGTGATTAACTCCGGGGCACTTCCGGGTACACATGTACACGAGGGTGACGTCGTTATTAGTCACGTGTTTTAGTACGTCACTAAAGGAAAAGAAAGTTAGGGGGCACATGTTCACGGAAAAAAATAGTTCAAATTTGTCGAATTGGAAAATTATAATTATGACTTCCGTCGTTTCCAATGAAAAGATTCAACTAATGTGCTAGAGTTCATTGTCAGTAATCTTCTCATTATTGTAATGAAGTTCATGTCATCGATCTCTTCAGATCTTTGGGGAAAACAAATAAATAAACCTTTTCTTTTTTTCAGAAAGTAAATAGAAGTGAGAAATATAAACGTTTAGACAGTCTTTCTCTCCCTAAATACTCAGCACACACACACACATGATTTTGGCTGTATCGACAATCTTTCTATCTACATACCCAACACATCAACAGGATATGGCTATTCAAGTCCAAAGGTCGGTAAGTCCAAAGGTCGGTAAGTCCATAGGTTGGCAAGTCCATTGGTCGGCAAGTCTATAGGTCGGTAAGTCCACAGGTCGGTAAGTCCATAGGTCGGAAAGTCCATGGGTCGGCAAGTCTATAGGTCGGCAAGTCTATAGGTCGGTAAGTCCATAGGTCGGTAAATCCCTAGGCTCGTTAAGCCCCTAGGTAAGCCAAAGCAATTCTTATGCATACCAATGAACAATGTCATACTTGGAACAATGCCCTCTGCCATGTACAAAGCAATGAAGTGTATTTTCTTAAAATGATACTGGTACAGCGTTTCTATTCGTTTATTTAAAGAATATGGTTGCATTATACAGCGAACATTTACTTAAGTTTGTGTTCGAAACAAAAAAAAACAACGTGTTAAGTCAGAAGCGTTATCAGCGTACCCGTAACTTGCCTGTCAAAAACACAGCGTAAAATGATGAAATGAAATTAAAACGTTTCCCCTATTGGTAATAACTCTTGAAATCATTGCATTTTGGGCCCAATCCCTTTCACTTTCACTTAATATATTCAAGTTGGATTTAAAATACATATTATATATATATATTTAAAAAAAAAAAAGTTTTCAACAAAGCAAGCGCATTGGTCCTTTGTCAATTCAAATGATATAGGCTCCTCATTCAAAAGATGACATTTAGGTTATCCCTAAGATAAGGGAGCTATAGAAGAAATTCAGCTCAATATTAAAATTAATTAGGAAAGGAGTTTGAAAAAAGCTGCTGGCTTTTAAACTGTCCCTCTTTGGGCCCCGGTGCAATCAGAACTTTATTTTACTATTTTACAACAGAGAGTCCTTTAGGTTGGACAACGAAGAAACTTCCTTTTTACAACTATCTCATTATGTAGGTGAAAAACGCGAAAAAATAAATCGTTTCCTTTGAAATAAAATTGCCTGCCATCCTTTTTTTTGTTCGGCACAAAGAGATTTGGATGTTATTGTTCATCCTTCGCACACGATGGAAGAAGCAATTTTTGATTTGAGCGTTGCCTTGACTTGAGCGGTATTTTGTTTAGAGTACTGGAGAGTTGCTCAATTCGTCAGCCTCAATCTCTCGTCTTTGTCTATTTGATCCAATGACAAGACTTAGTCAAGACGTTTAGAAACAGGCATACGACTCCCATCTACCCGGGCTCGCTGGTGAGTTTTTTTTTTGCAGTTTGCATCACCCAACAACCCAATCAATGGATATGACTAGTATGAAATTCAAAGATATTTTAAAAGGAATTGTGAAAAGTATGAACACCCTAATTTGGCTTAGATGAAACCATTTATGTAGAAGCTTGCATTGTAACACAAGCCTTCGTGCATAGCTTTGGCTATTGTAAGGACAATGCTGTGATGATTGTTAAGCACTGCTATATGCAAAAGTCTTTTAATATATAGCATCGTTAAGTCTAGGGTTCATAAAAAAATAACACTGAACTTTTTTCACTCATTACAAAGACAATCGTGCGGCAGTGTGTAATTTCTTGACAAGACTATGTCGAAGAATGTTGCCGGGCCTTCAGAGACCAGAATGATCACTAATTTTATAGTGGGCCCATAATATATTAAAGAAGAATAAAATATTTGATATGGTTCCTTATTCAACAGCAAACTGCTCAGTGTGGCTTCATCCTTCCACAATCTCTCTTCATCTAACAATAGCAATAACAACAAAACGTCATCTCTCACATATAAAAAAAAGTCAACAATACAAAATACATAGCAATTACTACACAATTAATCTCCATACCAAATACTCTCACTAAAACATAAAGTATACAAAACACAAACTAAAGCACACCCTCATTGAACACATAATTAATACACGTTATAGCCAGCGAAACATTGGCGACAAAAATGCTTAACTTACCCTCTCCTAAAACTACTTGACAAAACATCAACTCAAGTAACGCACAT